TGGGAGAACTTGCACAATTGGTGGCTGACTAAATACTTTTTTGCCCCACTGTATGCCATCTCCTGAATCCTGGCTGGAAGGGTCCAGATAATCTGTTTCATCCAGGGCCTCCTGAAGCTGTTTCATAAGCAACTTCTCTATCACCTTCCCTAAAAAGCAAGGTTAGACACTGGACAAAAATTACTCAGTATGGTGGGATCCAGTGATGGTTTCCTGAGGAGAGGGCAAACCAATACGTCCTTAAGGGGCAGTGGAACAACCCCCCTCTCAAAGAGGAATTAACCACTGCTAGAACCCAACCACACAACACCCCTCAGGCAGCCTGAACTAGCCAGGAGGGGCATGGACCTAAGGAGCAGGATCTGAGCTCACAGTCATAAGGACCCTGTTTGCTTCCTCAGGGTAACAGGTTCAAATAATTCCCAGATAACTGAGCAAGACTGCACTCCAGACATCTCCATCACACCTATATCAAAGCTGGCATCCAACTGGGAACAAATTCAAGCAATTTTGTCCAACAGATGCTCAGCAAATTCCTCTGCATGACCCTGTAGGTAAATTTCCGAGTTCTCGTTCCGCAGGAGGGCTTGTAACCTTAAACAAGGTGGTGGGGGTGGCCGTCTGTGGACGCAATAAGGGTGGAGAAGTATTGTCGCTTCGCCACCCTTACTGCCAAAAGGTAGGCCTTAATAGCAGCTCTCACATGTGTTTGGTCAAATTCCTCCCTTGTCAACCTCCAGCGGTGCTCCAGATGTCTCATCTCCCTCAGCTCTTCTGTAAACTACAGAGAGCAGTGGGATTTGCAGGAGGAGAGAGGTCGCACAGGTGTGCTCCTATCCAAAGCCTCAGCCACCCTCTCATTCCAAGCAACAGCCAAGGCCTCAGTCAGACTGTGCAGCAGGTAATCAAGAATAACCCCCAGCTCCATCTAGAATCTATCTGAGTCCATCAGTCGCCAGAGGCAGACCAAGCTAATAGATCCTGTCTCCTTGTGGCAGAGGGCAGTACCAGAAAATCTCATGGTTACCAGGACATGATCTGACCATCATGGGAGGCCACAGAGGGCTCCCCCAATTCCACATCACATTGCCTCTGCTTGAATGTGAGCACTGTCCCATGTTGGGCCCTGGATGACCTGGGATAGGCCCATAAACTGTAATGGTGGCCATGAACATTCCGGCCATCTCAGACCTCACTCCCAGGGAAGGCAGATTGAAGTCCCCCAGAACCATAAGCCTGGGGAACTCCACTGCCAACCCCGAGACAGAGTCAAGAAGCTCAGGCAGGGAGATTGCTACACAGCATGGAGGCTGGTACAGAAGCAACAATCCCAGCTGATCCCTAGAGCCCAACTTAAGGAACAGGGTCTCACATCTGGCAATTTGTGGAGCAGCACCTCTGAAAGCCATAAGAGACTCCCAGATGACAAATGCTACCCCCTCACCCCCACCATGGAGTTTCAGCTGATGCCACACCCGAACCTCCCCCCCAGACACAGCCAGGTCTCAGTAATACATGCCAGGTTGGCCCTCTCATCTGTGATTAAATCACAAATGATGGAGGCCTTATTGCAGGCCAACCTGGCATTTAAGAGCAGCAGGTGAAAGCCAGGGCCTCTGAAGGTCTGCTGCCCGAGAAATGTGGTCAAGTCCCAGGGGGCTGGAACATGGAACCAGTACAAGGCACCGCCTTCCCTGTGAGTGGCCGGCCCCGGTCTCCCACCATATCTTCCATACCTGTCATCACCACGATATTCCAACCCACCCCTGCCACCATCACGATTCCTGTTCCCATCAGCCACAGTTGCTATAATAGATAGGAATTCATTTGTTTATGCAAAATTTTATATACCACGTACTAAGTTAGATCCAAGGACCTTTACAGTTAATCAGAGATACAAGAATTCATGAAGAAAACCGCAAAATATTAAAAAGTACTGATTATGTGGCAACCCTAATGCAAAACCAGGGCTTGAGCATTTTCCTAAAGATCCAGCTATAAATTAGATCCTTGCCTCTCCTGGCTTGTATGCATAGCCAGGAAAGGCACAACAGCGTAAGTATGACAGGTGATGAATGCATTGTTATGGTAGGGAGTGATACTACCAGCCATAAATACAAAAAACCATCACCTGGCTGTTCCAGGGCTCAAGCTTCTTCTTCATGCTATTTAGCATCTACATGAGGGAAGTCATCTGTATATCCCTGCCTCAGGCTGATCAAGGTATGCAGTAGAAGTCCTTACCTGGTTCCTGGAGGCTGTCATGGTCTGGATAGGGCAACGCAGGCTCAGATTGAATCATAGCAGGACAGAGTTCTGTTGGTACAGAAACCTTCTGGTTCCATGGATGTTTCACATTTTGTCCCTGGATGTGGTCACACTTCCCCGAAGATGCTGGTGACCAATCTGGCAGTTCTCCTGGACTTGTTGCATTGGTTACTGATTTGCTTTTGGATCAAGCTCAAATGTTTTTTATTACCTTTAAAGCCCAGTATGCTTAGCTCCTGGATACTTCCAGGACCGCCATTCCTTCACCCCCTTACCTAAGATTCAGCCCCACCCCACAGATTCAGACTGCAGTTTGGACCGGTTGAAACTTCTGGATATCTTCAGAAGAAGCCTCACATAGAGTGCATTGGAGTGGGCTAAATGCAAGATGATGAGAGAATCAGTCACGTTTTCTGGGCCTCCTAATCCTGATACCACACAGTTGCCACAGCAGCAAAAGCTGGGCAACGCTCCCCTAGCCGCAGCCTCCACTTGCTGTTTTACCAGGAATTGAATTCAGGGGGAAGCCCAGAATGCAGATCTGCTCATGTAGGGGGAGTGCAACCCCAGCCAGAACCAATGGATCAGGAATGGAGCCAGTTCTGTTACCAACAAACAGCAACAGTGTTTGCTGCAGTTTAGTCTGAGTTTCTTTGGATGCATCCATGCTCTCACAGCCTCAGAACTTCCATGGCATACCTGGTCCAGCCTGGGGTGGGGATATATGTAACAATTTTTGGCATATTAATGATTCCTCGCTCCAAATTAATATATGGCCTCCTAGTGGTTTCATGTAGATGTTAGATAGCATGGAGGAGAGGACCAAGCCTGTGGCACCCCACATTGGAACAACCACCACCACTTTGGATGTTTTTCCCACACACTCACCAACTGGAGCCACCCGCATAGGAAGGAGTGGAACTATGTCTCCAATCCTCACCCCTTGCAGATACTGCAGATGGTCCAGAGAGATAAGTTACAACAGTGCTGAAGCATGACTGAAAATATTTTAGAAAGTCCATTTCCTATAGAACCCTCTGAAACTGAAGCTCCATTACCAGAAAGGAAAGTTTGAGGATTGGCCAGGAGTTGTCCAAAGTGGCTGAAACACTGGGAGATGTAGGTCAACTTCTGGAGGGCCACATATGATTTACCCATGAGAGTGACATCAACATGTAATTGTCCCCTTCAGCAACTGCTACATTTGTAATGTCATAAGTGTAAGCGTCTGTGCCCCAAGTGTTTAAAATCCATGTGGATAAATGTTTTTTAAATTGTATCTCTCCCAGTCTGTGTTTTTCTTCTGCAGTCACTGTCTAGGATGGAGAGAGCTGTCAATGTATTACTTTCTCTCTGTTTCCCATCTTTTATTTCTCCCGCTCCAAATTATCCCTCCCTTTTATGAGCTTCTGTTTCAGGTAGTCCCTCTGAAAACACTGCCTTCTTATCAATGGAATTTGAACAAACAAACTCTGTAATCAACAGAAGTTGATGGCAAACCCTGAAAGCACCATTTTGGGGTGGAGGAGAGAGAGGCACATTCTTCTCTGAACTTGTAAAAATAGGTGGACTTGACTTTACATTAATTCTTGTTTTTCTTCTTGCAGCAAACATCTATCCTAGGGAGTGTTTTTGGTGACTCTTGTTACGATCAGCAGATGACAGCCAGGCAGGCAAATGCTTTATCTCATCAGGTGAGTAAGAAATGTACTTCATTTATGTAATGGAATTGCGCAATCATTCCCGGTCCGTAGCAGAAATGCATCAACAACTTCAGCAGAAACCCAGAACGGCCCTTCGTGAAATTAAAGAACAAGCACTGAAGTTGTTGGTGCTCTCAGAACGGGGTGCTTGTTCTTTAATTTCACGAAGGGCCATTCTGGGTTTGCCTCCTTCCAAGCAACTTCTACAGGGATTCCTGTTCTTTAGTGCGCTGAGTTCATTACCGGATTTTCCCAGGGCAGAAACCCTGAGAGAGTTGCTTGTTGTGAGTCCTGCAATGTAATGGGGAGGTTGGCTTCGCTGAGGAGAGGAGATTCTTTGCTGTTTCACATTCTCAAACATACTTTTTGAGTAAAGCTATTTTAATTGGGGTGTCCGATTAAGTGAATCCATTAGTAGTGTGGGAAAATAAACGTCATATAATTTATTTCAGGGTGTCACCTATCCCCTAAATCAAAATGAATTGTCCTGTGTTTCTTACGTAGACCCTTTTTTAAAGATTTCTACAATTCTGAGGTTATGGGTGTCTTGATGCAGCTGAACAGTAAAAGATGCCAACAATTATCTTTTTACCTTGAAACATTACAGCATATATCACTGGCAAAAACACATTCATTCTACTATCTCCATCTTGAAACTGCCTTTGAATTGCAAACTTTGTGGTTAAAAAGCTTAATTTTTTTCTGTTTCTTCTGGGCAAGCAGGGTATAAATGCAGAAAATAAATAGGATTAAAAATTGAGCTTGATTCCTGGATTACACAGATCCATCCATGCAATTTTCTTGGCAACAGAGCAGATATAGATTGTTCTTGCCTTCTTTTGAGATTTTTTTTTTCTTTCAATTTCCTAATCTAGCCTACAGCTCTGGAATTCCCTGATGGTCTTCCACCCAAATACTAGTGAGGCCTGACCCTACTTAATTTACAAATCCAGACAAGGTCAGCCAATGATGAGAAATAAATAGGATAGAAGAATTTAATTGAATAAAAATTAGGGCAATAATTCAAGGTCTATCCAGCTGTGGGGCATTGCTGCCCTCTGGTGGGAAGATGCAAAAAGTAAGGATGCTTGTTAAACTCTTGGGCTGTGATACTTGCTTTGGAATAAGATCCATAAAGACCGTGGTAAGTATGTAGCAAAGTGGACAGGTTAAGACTTTGACTGGCTTAGTCACGGGTTTTTCCAACTGTGTTTGGGGGAACCCCAGGGTTCCACAAAAACTTGATAGGGTTCTGTGAGAGACTAAGGAAAAAAAGTTGACTCAAAGCAGCCAGTTTTCTATCACTAGAGCTTGGCCTCTTGGTCAGGGATTCTAGAGTCTATTTTTTAAAAGTAACAGGTCCACAGCCTTAAAAAAGTTTGAAAAACACTTTAATGACAGCTTCCAAATATAAAAAGAGCCCCAGAATTGGGAGCTCTCCTTTTCTGTTGACATGACTGCTTTTTGTAATTAAAAAAAAAAAAATGACAAGCGTAGCCCCTGGCTACAAAAAGGTTATTTGCCTTGTTTTCAGGAGTAATGTTAAGCATAATTTGCTCAGAAGAAAAGAACCATGGAAATGGTCATAGACTAGACCACGTGGTTGGATGCTAGATATGAAACTTGGCTACTCTTAGTCTATGATTGCCTCCCAACCTCCTCTAGAACCAAATGCAAAAGCAGGGAGAATCTCTTGCCTTCAGCCCTTGCTTGTAAAAGGCCTCTTGTTGCAAAGCGGGATGGACTTTTGCTCCAGCTCAACAGGGCTCTTCCTCTAGAGGACAAATTATGGAGCCATGTGGGATCTATGTCTGTAGGTGCAATCTATCTCACAGTAGACTGAGGATGAGAAATAGGGAAGAAGTTGTGGCCTTCACATCCTACCTCTGGTGGGCCTTAGAGATAGGCCTTTGATCTGATCTCCAGGATTCCTTCCTTCAGCTCGAGCAGTTCAACATGATTGAAAACGCCATCAGCTCCAATAGCTTGTACAGCCCCTGCTCCACCCTCAACTACTCCCAGGCAGCCATGATGGGGCTGACCGGGAGCCACGGGAGTCTCCAGGACCCACAGCAACTCAATTACACCAGCCACGGGAACATCCCAAACATCATCCTTACAGGTACTGCAACACTGTGGTTTTATTGATTGACAGATTGATTGAGTGATCAAATTTATATGCTGCCCATCTCACTGCGTAACTGACTCTAGGCGGCTTTAGGTCCTTGGGAAATGCAGGTAGGTAGGAAAAGTAGGAAATGCAACCCTAACTCTTTGAATCAGGGATAGGTAACTTTCTTGCACCTAGGGGTGGTGCATAAGTTATTTATTTATTTTGCTAGCTGTAGCGAATGTGATTAGTGATGTCATAATGTCATTGGAGGTTTTTTTGGGGGAATTGCGTTAATGGGTTGAAATGGGTACTTCAAACCTTGCAGGAAGCTTCAGGCATCCATTTTGCCCCCTTCCGTACAAAAAATTGGCCTGATTTTTTTTGTAATGCTGTGGAGTGCTTTAAGGAGTCAAATCACTATTTTTACTCATACCTCATAACCATCAAAAACCAAAGGAACGTGTTGGAGGTTCAGGGGGCTGCAGAAGAGGTGCTGGTTACTGCTACATGTGATCTGCAGACTATGAGTTGCCAACCCTGTTTGGGGAAGGAGGTATTTAGCAAGTTATGATTATGGCCTCTCTGATGAACCTTCTAACTATACATGAAGTGAGGGGAGTAAGAAAAGATAGATATAACAAATGGGAGGTTGGCTGGGTGGGGACAAGATAACTGCCTCCAAATACCTGAAAGACTATCGTACAGAAGAAGATGAACACTTTTTGCCTGCTGCATTGGAGGCCAAAGCTAGATCCGATTTTTTTAACATTTAACTGAACACAAGGAGAAACTTTGTGATTCTCAGAGTAATTTGAAAATGGTCCCATTTAGGTCAGAAATAAAATTTAAAGCTCCCTAAGATCTTGTGTGTCATCCCAAAATTTCATAAGTGAACACATCAAGAACTTAGGCAATTTGGTGAACTCTCTGCTTTTTATTTATTATTTATAAAATGGCTGAACCTTGAATTCAAGGGAAGTTGAGCTGCCTAAGATCAAGCAAAGGCTAGCCACTCCCCCCTAATTCTGCACCAATTCTGAATTGTCCGCACTGAACAGGAGACTGGATTAAGTGGCTTCCTTCGTCATCCTACAACTCTTACACAAGAGATGCTGGCTCAAGACCGTTGGTCACCCACTTGTGACTTGAAACAGCAGGAGGAACCATCTGTTTCCAGTGTGGGGAACTTGAGGCCACACTGAGTCAGCCTAGAGTCTGCAGCCTGATCGGCAACTACCTTTTTAAATTTAGGACAAGTTAGGATGTATTTTAACCAATAGGCAAAGGGCCATTAGCTGAGTGCCAGTTAAGTCACTTCTAGAAGAGTCCAAAGCTAGGCAGAAGTTCTTTATTAAGCCTGTTCATTGGTAGAAAAACCACAGAGCCTTAGTGGAGCTCTCTTCTGGGGCCTCTGTCATAGGTTACTGGAGAGGTAATCAACAAGGGAGAGTTGTTTTTACCATGCCCAGAACTATTGGGATGTGGGCTAGAAGAGAAAATCCAATGATATTTTCAGGAGATTTCTCTTCTCTTTTTTTTTACTAGCTTCACTGTGTTAGAACAAACAGCTCAGACTGAAGGAGAAACTGAGCAAGCCTAATCAAAATGCTCTCTCTCTTTCTCTTTTTCTTTCTCTCTCTAGTGACCGGGGAATCGCCTCCCAGTCTGTCGAAAGATCTCACCAGCTCTTTGGCCGGGGTGGGGGATGTCGGCTTTGACTCAGATTCCCAGTTCCCTCTGGACGAACTAAAAATCGATCCCTTGACCTTGGATGGGCTTCACATGCTCAACGACCCCGATATGGTCCTTGCTGATCCCGCCACAGAGGACACTTTCCGGATGGACCGGCTGTAGTGGGGAGGGGAACGGGAAGGGGGTGCTGCGCAAAAAGAGCGCATCAGAATCACCAAGTCCTGGAATGTCCGTGCCACTCTGGTGCTTGGAGGGAGATAGGGCCGAGCCCGTCTTGGATCTCTTGCATCCAGTCAGGGTCCCTGGACAGCCGCAGCTCCACTGTGTGTCCAATTTAGCAATGCTTGTTCTACACTTGCCGGGCAGCCGTCCTGCTCGCCCCACCTCCCCCAGCACCAACTTAAACCTTTGTTCATGCCTTGCTGTTGGGAGAACCGTATCTCAAAGAGCTGTCTCCACCCCAATCCCCCTTTGCCTCCTCCCTCCGTCACCAAAGTTCCAGCAGTTGGTCCTCTTTTGTCCTTTGCACTAAAAGCTTTGGGCTTTTTGTTCAGGAAGTGGAGGGGCAGAGAAAGTTATTCCCCCTCCTCCTCCTTCCAAACAGAGGAGCTGTCCAGAAGATAAAATAGGTGTATTGTTTTGTTTTCATTTCTCTGTGTAAACTATCCAACCTTTGGCTTCTGTTACAAAAACAGATACCCCGCATGGAACTGAGGGATTTTCTGGGAATCAGGGGACTGCTTGATGAATTTTTTTGGGGGGGGGAGAAGTACATGACTTCTGGAGCTACCTTGTCAATACCGCTGCCTTTCCATGGAAAAGGACTGGAACTGGAGAGGTGGAGAAAGCCAATTGTGGCTGTCCCAGTGAACTCTGTAAAGCAGCTGCTTGCATTGGGAGGCGGGGGGGCTTGCAATTGTCTGCTTGATTCTCCAAGTCCATTTCCTTGACTGTTTTCTGGAGTCCCACCATGGGACTCGTTTGCCTGTCTGCATGCAGCAGCTTTCAGAAACAGCTGTCTGACCACCCCACCCCTGTCGGGAGATTTAGTGGCATGAGCCACATAATTCCTCTTGATAAACTGACCGTGTAAAACTGTTTTTATTTTTGTTCCTTCAAAGAATTTTCAGGGGGAGGCAAGGCAAGCGGAGAGAGGAAAAGAAGGCACAAATGTTTTTCTAATTATACATGGAAATTCTGTCATTTGTCTGAAGGAATAAGAACTGCGTCTCCTGCAGGTTATTTTTTTAATCTTTTTTTTTAAGGCAGCAATCTTTTTTTCCCCCTCTGCTTTGGAAGAAGTAGTTCTTGTTCTGTGTATATTAAAAAAGAAAAGAAAAGAAACCTCTCTCTTGTGCTTGAAAGATCTGGTTCTAACCAAACCAGTCTGGTTTATCTCTGTGCTCCAGACTGATTAGATGGAAATCCTCTAAGGTGGCTTCAACTATACAAGGAGACCATGACATGCTCAAACTAGGGTCATTCATTAGGGTTAGCCATAATGGGATTTGTCTGGCTCATGGGTCCAGTTATATTATGCAAAGCAGGCAATGCTTTCCTGATTCTGGGCTCCGTAAAGTAACCTAGTGTTGCTCTGTTCACAGCAGTGTTGCAAAGTAAAGGGGTGTTTCTTTCAAATGCAGGAATAGTTGCGTGGATGCATTCAGATACGAGGACCCCAGTTTGGAACTTTGTACCTCTGTCATCCTGAGAACTGTAGAACTCAGAAAAGCTACTCAGTGTGGAGATTCCCAGTGAAGCTTTTCAACAGGAGACAGTAAAACATTTATTAAACAGTTCCTGGTTCTCCTGATCTAGGACCCATTTGTTTTTAACACTCATCCCAGTTGTTAGTTGGTTCTGGAATGACCCTGTGACAAATGCTCATTCTAACACCGTCCACTCGACAGGATCCTTTAGGTCGGTGTTTCTCAACCTCAGCAACTTTAAGATGTGTGGACTTCAACTTCTAGAATTCTCCAGCCAGCTATGCTAGCTGGGGAATTCTGGGAGTTGAAGTCCACACATCTTAAAGTTGCTGAGGTTGAGAAACACTGCTTTAGGTAATTCTTACTCCCTGGGACAAGGTTGTATGTATTTGCAGTAATTGAATTATCTGGCTTTGCAGTCAACCTCAGCAACTTTAAGATGTGTGGACTTCAACTTCTAGAATTCTCCAGCCAGCTATGCTAGCTGGGGAATTCTGGGAGTTGAAGTCCACACATCTTAAAGTTGCTGAGGTTGAGAAACACTGCTTTAGGTAATTCTTACTCCCTGGGACAAGGTTGTATGTATTTGCAGTAATTGAATTATCTGGCTTTGCAGTCCCTCTCTTTGGCCAAAACTGGATGGGTGGTCCCCAGACTAAATGCCCCGCCCCCCACCTTATATCTCTTGAATCTAGGATTTGAGGCATGTCACCATCACCTCTGGCTTCCTCTTCCACCCTCCTGAATGCCTCTTACTATTCTTTGCTGCCCCCATTTTCAGACTCCCCCTTCCCAGTGAGTTGTAGCTGGATTTTTGTGTGTGCCCACACACGTGCAGGTAGCAGGGATATCCATTCTGAGTACGTGTTTGGTTAACGTTTTGTTTGTGCCATAATCAGTTTATAATTTTTGCACTAAAGAGATGGATTTTTTTAAAAAGTGTACAGTCTTGTAGGTTCTTTGTGTAACGTTTTGATGTGATGTGTCCCCCCCCAGCCACCCCAACTTTCAAATTCTGAAAAATGCTCTCTCCATTTCATAACCCTTGTCAGTATTTTAGCTTGACCGCCTCTAGTACTCCCCGTGGTCTATTTATTTCAAATTTGCTATGGCTGTTTCTCATAGACAGGAGGAATCCATAAGTAGAAACCAGAGGCTGTGTTCTGCTTTAAACATGGGCTAAGCAGGCAAGTTGCATCTTTCTAGTTTCTGATAACACAGCTAGATGTGTTGATTGTTCATTCAGATATCTTCATCTCTTGTCTTATTTCATCAGCATGCCAAAATTTCCTTTGGGCTTTGATCTGTAATGTTGGGGCAGTGGGTAGGCAAAATGCAGAATCCAGTTTGGGAAAGATTCCTTGATTCTTGAACTGGGTTTTTTTACATGGAGATATAAATGGCTATTTTCTTTCTCTCATTTTTTAGACTTACACATGTACATAGGAAAACTTGTGTATTGATAAATTGTAAGTAGTTTTACAAAATGGCCTTAATTTACTATTTATGTATATACATAACTGTATGTGACTGTGCATGTATATGTGTGCATGTACTCACACACATATACATACACGCAACCAGACAAAACCCTATCTGAATGCAATTTAATTTGGAATAGCTGAGCATCAGGGACCATTTGTTTTCAACAAATATTATTTCAATTTTTCCTTGTTAGGCTGGAGAAGCTGGAAATGCACGTTAAAGACGATAAGGTCGTAGAACAAGGAAGAAATTGAAGACATAAACAGTAACATAAGCTGTGTTGTGGATCTGATTTTGCTGGTTGAGGTAGTAATTATTGGCCCAATGATGATCTCTTTTATGCACCTTACTTTCTGTTGGTTTATAAAACTCATGTGGAAAGTTCCCTCCCTCCCTCCAGCCCTTGAGTAAAATCTGCATTAAAGATTGAGGAAGTGCGGGCGGAGAAATATAATAAATAAATGGACAAGAGCTCCAAGTCCATGGGATCTCCAGCTTGCCTAAACTGATGTGGGGCGGGGGAGGGCAAAGGAATTATGTTATATGTAGGGCTTAGAAACCCCAAAGTTCCGTTCTGTCTTTTTGGGTTCTGCTCTGTGTTTTTGTTCTAACAAAAAAGGATTGTCTGGGGAAGTAAGCCTTTTTATGGTTGTTGGCGCCTGCATGAATGGTGAAGAATCCATCAGAAAGTGATGCCTGTTGTTTAGATAGAGAATTAAGACTTTAATTTAAAAAAAAAAACAGATACGTCTTAACTGTGAGCTTAATTTGGAGCTGGATTGGACCCCACAATGGGCATAGTTATGAAGTGGTCCTGTATTTTCATTCCTTGCAGCCTGATTCTCATTTTTCCCCAAGGAGCTCAGGGGCAACACTGACCATTCTCTGCCCCAGCCTCTTTTTAGCCTTGTAATCGGCACAAGAGAGAACCTCAACCAAGAGAAAATTACCGGCCCAAGATCGCTAAGTCAGTTTTGGGGCCCAAAGGAGCACCTGTATTTCTCATCTGAGTCAGATACTAAAATCCAGAGGGAGGAAGCCTGGGGCTCTCTGGATGTGCTGACTTTCCATTTCCAGTAGCCCTGCCAACATGGTCAGTGGCAAGGGATTGTGGGTTTTGCCATCCAAGTCATCTGGAAGGCGCCAGGTTGCCTATTATCCAAAGCTACTGCTGTGTCTACCAGTTTCCAGGCTGCCATTCATTAGGTGGACACCAGTTCCTGTGGGCTGGGGTGACATGCGTTAATTCATCCTGCCAGCTGGCCATAGGTCCCCTCCAGTCCTACAGCCAAGCTAAGAGTGCTGCTGGTCAGATATGCTCCAGAACAAAGGACATCATGCGAATAAGGGCATCTCTTCTGGGAAATTTTTATGAAATATTTTCTTAATGCTGGAAGATACATTTTTAAAATAACCTGTCCTCTCCTCAAGCCTTTGTTTCTTTTTGATTTCCATATCATTTCAAATGAATCTCTTCATTTCTCTCTCAATAAGCTGGGCAGAGAAGGACTTGGTGGGTATAAGCGGTGGGCTGCCTCTCTCCTCTCCCCCCCTCTACCCAACCACCCCTTGTCAAGCTTCCTTCCCTTCTCCGCTTCCGCTCTGGGTCTGTGAAGAAACAAGAAGGCTCTGTCGTCTTTGCGTTTTAGGTCTGTTGGTGTTCCAATGGGAAGCTGTTATCAGAATCAAATGGGCATCAGGGGTTGCTTTAATTTCACATATCTGATTTTCCTATCTGCTGTTGGCTGGGGTGATCATAAGATTGAGAGGGAGGGTACTTCAGAGTAAATAATCCTTTCTCTCAGCTGACCAAGCGGAAACTGAGATTTGGTACAACTTGAGTTTGACAATGCAGAGGAGGGAGGATAAGTTATTTCTGTGTTAAGTAGTTCTGTTTGAAAAAGAGAATGGGAGCCAGAGTCTGGGACGTTCCCGAATAGAGACAGTCTTCCTCTGAATTCCAGGCGTCAAGGAGAAATACCAGGGCAAGTTAGTTGCCTTCTTGTCTTGCTTCGTGGGCTTTCAGAAGATACCCAACAGGACGCTGGGACTGAATTAGAGAAAAGACCCTTGTCTGATTCAGCAGCACTTTTTGGGTGAGGGTGGGCAAATGGGACGGCTCACCTTTTGCTAAAGGCCAGGCTATTTGCATGTTCAAAGAAACTGCATCTTGTTCTTGTTAGAATTTGCTGCATGTTAGCAAAACTCTGGGCTTAGTCTCCTTGGAAACATAGTTTTATGTGAGCATAATGTCCCCAAGTATTTCTGTTTTGTTTTTGTTTTTTAAGTAGTCACCCAAGAGATTTTTTATATGTATATATATATGAAGATAAGTATTTCTGTTTTTCTCTCATGGATGCTTTGTGGCCTACCGATTTCTCATTTCCCTTCTCCATTGGATGAACCGTTCAAAAATATTCAAAATGAGGCTACATCTCCCTGACTTATAAAACTCTGCTTTTAAACATTGAAGGCGCTTTAATTTAAAAAAAAAAAAACTCCCTTGTCACTGTGATGACATTGTGAAAGAGCAATTTAAATATTTACGTATGCACACATTTTTTTTTAAAAAAGGAAAAAATTAAAAACCATTTCTGTGTTTTATAGGAGTATCAACAGTGGGGGTGATGCTGCATTTCACACCTACGCATGAGTATCATGGTGACATTTAATAGCATATTATGAATCATTTTTATCTTTTTAAAAGCAGAATTTGTATCATTTTTGTGGTTCTTTGTGGCAAAATGTGAAAGGGCAGGAAGGGTGATAACAAACACTACATCAAGGCACTTATTAATCTGTTTGTGCTTTCGCTATTGTATTTCTTTCTTTCGTTGAGAAAGGTGTGATATGTTTGTATATAAAAATAAATATGAGATTGGCCAGTTTTCACTGTTAAAAGAAAGAAGGGATGGTTATGTATTATTTCTTTGGAGATGCAAGAGCACTCCCGACGCAACCACTGTTTGACAGAGCATTGTTCTTTTTTATTTAAAGCAAAATATAGTAAGAGTCAATATCCGCAAGGCATATTTGGCAGAGGGCCTATAAATATGCAAAAATGTCTGTGCCTCATGAACACAGAACAGTCCATAACAGTGTTTTTCAAACTTGGCCACTTCAAGATGTATGGACTTCAACTCCCAGAACCCCACGCAACCACTGCGTGCGTCGGCGTCG